GAGAAAAAACAAGGACATAGTACAGAGAGGGGAGAATGTTAAAATGATCCCTTGAGTAAATGGGAAGGAATGGGATCTAATGTGCAGAGGCATTGGCTTGAGATAGCAGCAGGGATCGTTCATCCATGGTAGGTGCCGGTGGGAAGAGAGTCTGAAAATTATCCTCCCTTCTTAGTGAACTACAAAGCAAGGTCATCTGCTTGTGAGGATGGGGTAGGAATTAGAGGTGTGAGGAGAGAAGTAAAGGTATAAAATAGTCAGCTAGGAGAACTGGGAGTGAATGGATTATGGAAATGTACTAAGGCCCACCAGTTTTGTTGTTGCAAAAGTAAGAGGACACAAATTAGAGTGACTATGTGTGTGTAGGGTAATCTGCTTGGAGAAAGAAATGAATCCATCCAGCTTTAGTCTCTCACTAATCTATCCCTTTGCCCCACTCACATCACCTTCATTGTCCTCTATTATTCTTGAAGACCTGCTCTTGAACAAACTACAAAAATAGAGCATTGCAACAAACTTAAGTTGGCAGTACCAAACATGTCCCCCTGTGGCCACATGGAGTATTTTTTAAATTGTGAGGGAAACGCAGCGACATCTGTTGGACACTGTGTGAACTACTAGCTCAGTGTAGTTCACACTTTCGTTACTAGATGGTTCTACATTCCTGTCCATTCCTCAGTTTATTTGTGAAGCTGAGTTTTCTAGCTTTTGCTGAAATAAAACACTGCACAAAAATCAGTTGGAGTGTCCAATCTGATTCTAAAGTTTGAAAAGTTGTGCAGTGCCCAACAGCAAGTAATTGTGGTTATCTAAGAATAAAATCAAAAAATTTTTAATTTATATTGTTTTTTCAAACAACTTCTAAGTTGTTAAGATACGAGTAATAATGAGGTTGTTTAGACCTAAGCTACTTAATATGAAGAATTATTAGCTATTTATTTTGGTCTAGGGGTGTAATCGGAGACACTAAAGGCACTGAGAAAGTTTGGGAACCTCTGATTTGAGGATGAATTCCTGTTGCTTCCTCTGTTTCTTCCAAGTAATGGGTCAAGGCCCTTGAGGGATGTAGTTGTGTGCAGTAGGACCAGGAAATTCTCACACCTAAATCTAAGTCTTGCACGGGATAGCTTATGAAAAATCCTCCCTCCCTCATTACCTTGAAACTTTGGAAATCTCTCTTCCCGGTTTTAATGGCACTTGGCTGCACCATCAGCATCTGTTATAACTCAGGTATTTAAAGCCAAGAGGAAACACAGGACTCTCAGCTCCCCCAGAGTCTTGTGTATCTAAAAGAAACCAGGCCACGTGGGTCACCAGAAGACTTGCCTTGGATGTTAATCGTTTTGCCAACATCCACTGCAAATGGGTAGTTCTTGATAGATGGCTTAGGCCAAGTAACTGTGGCCTCAGAACTGCTTCTGTTTTCTCCAGCAAAGATGCAGGAACAAATACTTGTGTGTTGGGGAAATGAGCTGCCACTAAACTGTGTTTATGTATGTGTGCGTGTGTGAGCCTGTTACAGGGCTCTGCAAATATCATCTCTTCTTGATCCGTTAACTGTGAGCTTCCCAGGTCAAGACTGTGCTTTCTTCATTTTTGTTAAGTTCAGCACCCAGGACAAGGCTTGGCCCATGGCGGACACTGAATAAATGTTTGATGTTAGAATATGGATATTAATTAATGAATTCCTGTTATCTAATTTGCATAAGCAGATGTACCATAAAAACTCAAGAAGCTTAAGCTGTAGGGCCCCCAAAGATTTATAAATATTTGAGGTATTTTAATTGTAATTAGTTAAAAATATTATCTCTTTCTACTTTGCCTTACCATCTATCATATTTGACTTCATGTTTGGTGAGATCAGAGAGGCTGTAAACATTTTTGGGATCCATCTCCGGGCAAGTGGAGTTAGGGTGCATTTAGGTTGGGTTCGGGGAGCTAAATGTTGTGATTGACATTCACTTTTGTCTATAGTTATGCTAGCCATCCCAGTGTAGAAATGGGTGCCGGGAATCCTTCTGCCCACTGTGGAGGACACATCCCAGGTTGAGACATGAAGTCAGGGGTAAGGTCATGTGAAAGCCTCCTACAGTGCCCCATGCAGGAAGAATGTCCATTATAGAGGAAAAATGGGACAAGGAGGGGAGGTATAGGAAACTGGTCTATAGAAAATCTTCCATCAGGTATGTAAAAATATAAGCTGATGAATCATTCTCTATAACACCTAGTCAAAAAGGATATTCTTTTCTGACAAGAATATACTCAAAAGAGCAGAGAACACAGAATACATTTAGCATACTTTCTTTTTTCATGGGGATTGCATGATACAGAGTTTACCACCGTTTGCTGTTGTGGTACGAACCAATACCAGTACCACGAACGGCAAGGACATCTGTGTGTAACGTAACACACCTTACACATCTTGGCTTGTCAGCTTGCATCTTACAGATTTGATGTATCGTGTTCTAATGAAGTCTGGTGGTTCCAGATGAAATGGTATGAAAAATGGCCACTGAGTCAACAAAAGTGCCTGCATTTTCTACATTGTCAGTAATAAATAATAAATTTTGATCAACCACTAGAAGATTGGTTTACCTTTGATCTCTATATGAAAAATTATAAAACTGTTTTTCAAAGAGGTGATCAAAGAGTGTGTAGCCAATAAAAAATGTTGGAAAAAAGTATATTAAGCAGTTAAAAAAATGTCATTTTTCTGGATTATGATGGTTTGGGTTTGATCAGCTTTACAAATTTTGAACTTCCTACTGATTTCTTTTCATACTCTAAATATGCCCTTTCATATCTACTTTCACATTCAGAATCTTATAATATTTCTCTATTAACAAACAGACATTTGATGTCTCATGATGCAAAATGTCTTCACGATGCAAGAACTAGTCACTCAATCCCTCCCTATCATTTATGGTAGGAAATTTTGCTATTTCAGCCCTAAGAGCTCTAACTATGTAACATTTAACTATTTGGGAGCTCTATAGGTCTAGCAGCTTCTAATTTGCCACAAGTGACAGCTGATCTTCTGAAACAAATACATTTTATTTGAAATGCTGCACGTTATGTAATCTATCTGAAGACCTTTTTAAGGAACAATTAGGGATCCATAGTTCATCATTTCAATCTGCCAGTGGGGGCAATATTAGCAAAACACAGATCATGGGAAACTCTATAGAACAAAAAACCTGGTTTCTTCAATTTGAAAAATTGTAAGGAAAAAACCCCAATGGAATGAGAAGCCTATGGATTAAAAAAGACTTACAAGACCAAGCGCAAAGTGTAACTTTCTTTATATCCCAATTCGAACAAACTTAGAAAGTGACTTTATGAAATAATTGGAAATCATCTGATTGAATATTTGATATTAATAAATCACTGTTACTATTTAAGATGTGAGATGGTTTTGTTAAAAAAATAGTTATCCTGTTGAGATATAGAAAATATTTATAGATAAAATTAGTATATCTGATTTCTGTCAAAATACTAATGGAGAAGTGGATGAGAAGTAGATAAGGCAGATTTAGTTATAGGTTGAAGTTCGAGGGCTGGGTGAGGGGTACACAGAGGTCCATCCTACTATTCTGTTTTTTTGTGTGTGTATGCTCAATATTCTCTATAATAAAAAGTATTAACATATTCAATCTGATTGTCAAACCCCATGGACAGAACTCGTATAAGTTGCCAAGACCATCATTCTGATGACAGAATCTATTAAATTGGTTGTAGTGCATGTCTTGGGAGTTAAAGTCTTTTTATTGTTAAATATCAAAAAGTGAAATAATTTTATTATTTCTATTGTTAACATTAAAGTTGTGTGTAAATTGTATAAAATTATGTACTTTGCTTAGTTAAAACAATGGGATATTTTGTAATTGTTTGTTTTATTAAGCATGCCCAAATATTCCAAGCATAGTAAATATGTGTTTTAAAAAGCTCAAGTAGCATTTATAATAAAGGAAGCACTGTTATTCCTAGCATGAACGTAATGGTGGCATGAAAAACTATCATCTATCTTGTCATTTAATAACAAAATGATTAACATTATGGAATATTTCTGAGCCCCCCAAAATTTATCTTCTGAATGAGACCAATACTTTATTCACATACTAGGAATAAGCTAGTACAAAATACATTTTAAAAATATTCACTTGTTGCTAAAAATCCTGCTGCCCCACCCCCACCCCAATCCCACACATCTGTTTGTTCTCCCGCAGGCCCCTGGGTCGACTTGGCTTTCCTGGGCTTCCTGCAAGAGCCTGAGCAGGGGTCATCAGCCCCGAGGGCAAAGATGGAGTTCTCAGTCATTTGCACCAGCAGGTGAGCCAGGGGCCCTGAGCCAGGGGCCCTGAAGCCCAGGGCAGGGAAGTGCATGGGCAGGTGGCTGGAGGCAGGCAGGTCGTGCAGGTACACTGGGAGGCAGTCTCCCTCCCCCCGGTAGAGCTGCAGGATGACTTTTTGCCCCTCCCAGAGCATGTTCCTGCAAGATGGCAGGTACTCTGGACTGAGGTCCCGAAATGACTAGGTGACCCTGCAATGGCAGACGGTGATCAGGTGCAGGCCAATGAGCTGCTGCTGAGGTCCAGAAGAAGGACAAAATCATCACAGGAATATGGTTTCTCAAAACCAGTACTTATACCTGTATTTTGTGACCTTTGACATTGTTGAACCCTCACTGTTGTTTAAAACTCTCTCCCTTTAGTTTCTATGCCGTCCCAACTTCCTGGTCTTTCTCTCCCAATCTCATTGATAGGCTCCATTTCTTCTGACTCACCCTCAGTCATTGTGTGGGATGGAAAGAAGGCTTCCACGTCTCTGCTCATCTCCTGTGGGATTATGAGGAGGCAGCTTAAACTAAAAGGAGATCCCACTGCATGGTGGGATCAAGCCCAAAGTCATCTGCTCTTCCATCCTATCCTCCCAGAACAATTGTGCAAATCTACTGCAGAAATAAAATATATCAGTTTAGAAAACAGTTCATGAGGAAACCATTTGACTTTATCTGATTTTATTTTTCACAGAATAACACAATAGCAATCAGCTTTCCACTTCAGAGGAATCTAGGTATGCTAGTATCTATTTGGATGAACTGGACTGAAGGACTCCAAGAGGGACTCCAAAAACTTTTTGGATGAAGTCCATATATTGAAAGAACTTGAAATCTTTGCCACCAGAGGAACTCTGAAGTTTGTCTTCCTTAAAGTTCTTGGGGGAATAGTCCAGCGAATGGTTTGGGGCATAATTTCCAGTGAATCTGCTGGTATACAGGCATAAAAAAATGGCTGGTTTTGTTTTCTTTCAGAATGAAAGTTGATATCCTCTTGATGAAGCTTTGATGGTAACTTAGGTTTGCTTGAGAAGTAATTTGATCTTTCTGACTCACAATTACGGACTTTCTTCTTTCTTGTGCATTTCTCTTTAGTCCATGTATAACTGTAATCACAGTCCCAAAGAATGTTGTTCTTTCTAAATAAATCAGATTTGGCCTTCTTTCCTTCTTTGCTTTCCAGATGTCTGTGAGGTTTGCCTTGGCCTTTTGCAAGATGTAATTTGATGTTTGATTCTGTTAAGGGAGCTAAAGAATGGTTGGTTCTGCACCTTGCAGTCCACGAAGACTTCTCTTCACTGAATGGAATGGAAGATGATCTAGACAGAACTTCCACAGCATTTAATGAACCGTGGCGCAACCAGTCAGGAGATGGCATTTTAGAGGATGACCTATATTTCCTGCTTTTGTGGGATTCATAGGAAGGTGTGACAATTGAGGAATGTTTTCTACAGCCTCTAATATGTTGGGAACCTGAATCTTCCCTGTACAATGGTTTCAAATTAGTTTTGCTTTTTTTCATCTTGTAGAGATTTTCCAAAGGAATGCCTTCCTGTAATTCAAATAGAATGTTTTGTGATTCCTGACTTAAATAAGGGTTGGCTTCCAAAAACATACATTCTTCACTCTCATGTGCTTCAAGAGCTGAGCATTCCTCCAAGTTGGCTGAACTCTCAATATTTGTCTGACTCTCGGTAAAATCTTCAGAAATCTGAGTTGAATGGGAATCAACTAAACTGGGAGTGCTTTCCTGAGTCTTTGAATCAAAAGATTTGCATATATCTGTTTCTTGAAACCATACATGACATTGTTTATCTTTTTCCAGAGTCGTGTGAGATTTTAACTCTGAAAGAGCTGTAGTATCTTTCTGCACTGGGCCTTGTTGATTGGGGTCGGAAGCACACACAAGGGTTGGCTCCCGGAATTTTCTCAATGATGAGTTTTCATGAGGACTTTGATTTTTGAAAGAGATGTGCTGTTCTAACAGTTCCATGTCAATGCAAAGATCACCACCACTTTCTCCCCTGTTATCTATATTTTCACATATTGCAACTGTGTTTAACTTAAGAATATGTTTGGGAAGTGCAGTTGGTTTAGGGAATACACTTCCGACTGGAAGCCCCAGGAGAAAATGAAGGTATTTGTATTGTAAATCAAGATCTATTTGATGAAGAGATTTTTCCTCAAAAAGTAACAAAATTCTATTTTTTCGTTTTGGTACTTTGAAACCAGAATGAATACATTTAGATAAAGGCTTCCTTATATTCTGAGGACTGCCCACTGCATAAGATTCTCTTACAATTTTGGGAAAGGCTTTCATGTGAATCTCCAATGTTTTCATAGAAAAGTGTATGAGCAGTTTGTCTTTTTCTTCTACTGAGTAGTTTTGAAGAATATGAGGCCATGGCATCTGCTTAGCTGAAGTCACTGAAGACACTCCACTTTCTAGCTTACTAATCCTCCTTAACTTTGTAGTGATCTCTTCGCTGTCACTTGAAACACTGACAATCAGTGTCTTCATACAGCTGACAGGCGGTGAATCCTGGGCGCATTTCTGTTTTAAGTGAAGTTCTACAGTATCAATCCCTTTTAGAGACAAAAAGCACATTTTTTTATGTCTCGGATATAGCCTCCAACTGTTATCTTCTGAAAAAGACTGATTTAGATAAAAGTTGAACTTTTGGAAGGATTGTTTTACCATCTCTGGTATCAGATTCAGTTTTATTTCAAATGCTTTTGACTCGAAATGATTAGTGAGCTTGTTTTCTTTGGGAGTGAAACGTTCCAAAATGGGTTTTGGCTGCATGTCGGGAGGTACTGTTGTGCATGTTGTATCTGGGCTCCCTGCACGTGGTGGTAACTTCCAATCATCAGGTTTTGGGGCTTTTACTTTTTTCAGTATATCCTCACAAATGTTGTCATAGATCATATTTTTTATCTGGGATTCAAAGATATTTTTAATTGCTTCAAAAAGAGGAAGTAAACTTTCTGTACTTGTACTACCTGGCACTACTTTTATTTCATTACTTTTAACTTGGGATGGTATAGGCCCGGTTCCTGGAAAAGGTTTTTGGTGCTGGACGTTTTGTGCGGTTGTAGCCTGGATGGGTTCGCTCTGATCCCCCCACCGAGGGGGTGAGATACACTCCATGGTATTGAATAGCTGAGTCCCATGTTGTGGTTCTTCTAGTCCTGGAGGGGAAATACTCATACTGAGGGTACTTTCCATGGGGGCTTCCACATTGTCCTTTGGCTCGTCAGACATGAGTGGACCCTCTGCGGGTGTCAGAAGGGGCTTTGGTGCCTTTCCTTCTTCTTCAGTCATACGCAAGTCAGATTCTTTTATGATCCTTGAGCTGTCATGCCCTGGAACAACCCTTTCTTCTTTGGTTTGTGGAATTAAATTTTTTTCCTTTGTTTCACTGCCGAGGTTTGCTTCTGATTTGACACTGGGGAGTTTTTGCATTTGTTGCTCCTCTACCACAGAGGGCTGGGAATCCTGTGGAGCTGTGTCTGTAAAATTCTGGTCCCCATCTTTTACAGTGCTCAAGCTATTCCCCTGAGTGTGTGGTGATTTCTGCTGGAATTCAGAAGGAAAGAGTATCTTTTCTCTTCCTCGGTTTGTCTCAGAGTCTACTATTTCTTCTATCTGAGAAGAACTCACCGTGGAAATAGAAAGACTTCTGACAAATATTCCTGAGGCATCTTCACTCCACAAAACTGTTTTCTTTGGTTTCTTCAAGTCATACTCTAATTTCTTTCTATTGCTTGGAGTGCCATGTCCCATGTTGTTAAGAATCTGTGAAACTGGATGATTTGGGATTTTCATGGTTAAATATTTGGGGCTCAATTCTCTTTTCAAATCTGCTACTGTTAACCTGCCTTTCCAGCCTTTAAATTTGAGAGAAAGAGGAATATAGGCATAAAATGAATCCAGAACATGTTTTTGAAACAATTTCTGTGGCTGAATATTTTGTTTTGCACCAGAGACTTCTAGTTCCTTTTTATGTTTTTGCTTGATTGGGCAGCTGTTTGCTCTATGAGTTATCAGCTGAGTGTTAATTTGAGGTATTTGTGCCTTTAGAGACGGAATGTTCAGATTTACGGTATTGCTTGTGTCCCTTTTCTTGTTCTCCTCCAGATTGACCATGGTGTGTTTGTGCATTTCTGTTTTGTCTGCTGCCAGACGGATAGCTATGTTTGTGTCTATTTTTAACTCCCCTTCTTCCATTTCTAATGTTTTTTGCTCTAGATTTATAGTAGTGCTTGTGTCCATTTTATTTTTTCCCTCCAGATCTCCAGATTGAAGTGGAAAAGTCCAGTGGGAAGAAAGAGACTTCTGAAGTGATTCTAGAATATATTCCTCTTGTTGTGGAACTGGCAATCCCTGCTCTTTTTTCCCTCCTATGGTATCAAACACTGTAATATCCATGTGTATTCCTGGTAGTATTTGTATTCTGGGGTACACTACAGTTTGCTTGTGTACATCTGTTTCCAATGGCGTCTTCTGCCTTCCATTTTGAAGTGGGAACTTAAGAGAAAAGCTGGAGTCCAGCCAGGTCTTATGTCCACTTTCAGACTGTAGCACCACTTGCTTTTTCACAACAATCTCTTGTTCCTCTATAATTGGGGAGGTATCTGACTCTGCGATATTCATTTTCTCAAGTGATCCCTCTGTCTGTGGGGCCAACACTTTGGGAGAGAGCATTTTGCTCACTTTATCGTTATTATGTACATCTTTCGCTGGCTTATCAAATTTATATGAATCTGCAGATCCTGGAGATGCTTTTGATAAAGTTTTTTGTTGGTGGGCATCTTGCTCTAAAACAGAAAATCCTTTTGCACTTACGGGGGCACCAAATGTGATATATATTTCCTTGGATATTTTCTTTGGTGGTGTAACTAAAACCTTAGGGCTTATTTTATGGTTTAAGTTATCCATTATTTCAGTTTGTTTCTTCAGATTTCCAATTTTAGTGGGCTCCATGGTGGGGTAGGGAAGAAATGTAGTGAAAGTTTCTGTTTTGTATTTTTCTGGCTGAACCTCTTGTCCTGTAAAGAAATACTCCAGCCTCTTCCCACTTACGGTACCAAATCCTGTTAAATAAATGTTCTCATGCTGTGAATTTAAAACTAACTGACTCAGATCTCCTTCAGATTTGACTCGTGGAGGTTCATTCCTTCGCTGTACACTGATCATGAAGTTTGAGGTCCACTGTTGCACTGCTTTTTCTTGGTGCACAGAGTGTCCCGCTTTTTTAACGATCTCACCATCACCAGCAACTACCTCTCTAATTGCTGTTTTCTGGGTATCTGATGATTCCTGGAGATTTTGCTGTGGAGGAGAGGATCCTGTAAGTCCTGGCACATCTTTGTCTACTTTGCTCCCTGAGTCTAGATAAAGGGAAGGTGCTGATGGGACAGAAAGAAAAGTCCTTGTCAGAACCACAGGTAGCTCATCTTTACCTTTGTATACGTTTTCCTTTAGCTCTTTAATATTCAACACAAATTCCTTTGTGTTAAAGATATGTGAAATTGACGAAATCCTGGCCTCTTTGTGATGCATCCTGATCCTCATATCTACTGTTTTCACTTCGTGCTTTTTTTCTTTCTGTGACATATGTTGTTTTCTTTCTCTTATGTCACAAATTTCCCCAGTATCTGCTCTCATCTTTGTATCTGATACTGCTGAAAGCATTTGTGGAATTAGAGAGAGTCTTTTAATTCTAAGCCTTTCTTCATCTACTTGTATACCTTTATCCAATGTAATTTCAGCTGGAGGTTTGGAAACATAAATTTTTCTTAGCACTGTACCAGGTGGTTTACCTGGACATTCATCTTTCTTTTGTTCTTGCCCTCCAATGTTCAGATGCAATTCTGTTCTATGGAGCATAAGTAAAGGAGGTGATTTCCTGGACTTCAAACTTATATCTGTGGTGTGTGTCATATTTCTCATATCTATTGTTTTTTTTCTGTACTGCTCCTCTTCCTGCGGCACGAGTTGTTTCTTGTTTTGACTGTCTTTCATGACATCACCATGGATTGCTTCTGTATGTACTACTTCCCCGGCATTTGATTCTCGTTGCACAACAGACCTTGCAGGTCCTAGCATTTCATCACCTACCTGTGTTTCTTTATCCAACTGCAGGTGAGGGAGAGATGGTAATGGAGAGGAAGAGTTGGCCACAACCACACTTGGTTCATCTTCACTTTCCTGCATCTTCTTTTCTTGATGTTTGGGAAGCATGAGGTTTACTATTTCTACTCCATCCTTTTCCTTGTTCTGGGGCATATGATATTTTCCTTTTTGTGGACTGATTAAAATATCACTGGTAATGGGCTCTATACATTCCATGTCCTCAGAATCTGATGATTCCTGGGAGCTGACTGTGGGAAAAGAGGATCTCGTTAATATTGGTATTCTCTTTTCTTCAACTCTGGTATTTGTGTTGAAGTGAAGTAGGGGAGATCTGCAAGTACAAGTCTTAGTCAGCACTGCACCACCTGGCTCACACTGACCTTCCTGAGCTGTTCCCTCTTGCTTTTTAGTTTTCCACCGAAGGGCACTTAGATTGTATCTAAGTAAATTAGGTGATTTCTTTGCTTTTAAATACCTATCATTGGGATCCACCATACCATTCATATCCACCTTTTTCTCTCTGTCCCTCACTTCTTTCAGTAATGTGTGTTCTTTTAATTTTTTTACATCATTTGAAAGTTCTCCATCAGTTGTTTCTGCGTATGTTGTTTTCACTGCACCTGGTGATTCCTTGGACTGTAGGTGCAGGAGAGGCAGTTCTGTAATTCTTATCATGTACCCCTCTCCTTCTCTTGAACCAAATTTAAGATATGGTAGAGTAAGTAAAGAAGTACAAATGTTTTCCAGATGCGTAGCTAGGTCATTTTCATCTTTCTGCACCTTTCTCTCTTGCTCTTTAATTTTCCACTGCAATTTTTTGGTATCGAGTATACGTGAAAGTGGTAATTCCTTTGCCTTCACAGCCATAGGTATTGGGACCATTTTGTTTTCAAGATCTGTTTTGAGTCTATCCTTCTCTTTTAACACACAACCATCAAATGACTTAGTATATGGCTTTTTGCCTGAACTGGATGGATCCTGAATCTTTGGTGGTGGAAAATAGGATTGTGTTATTCTTAGTGTGTCTTCCTTTTCATTCATCCTTGTGTCCCATTTCAGGTAAGATGGAGAAGGTAAGGCAGCACAGGTTTCCTTCAGAACCATTTCTGGTTCACTTTTGCCTTCTGGCACTTCTTTTCCTTGCTCTTTAATATTCAAAGGTAGCCTCTTTCTACTGGGTAGATGTCGAAGTGGGGATGTCTCTGCTGTCGAGGTGATTATTTGGGGGAATCTTCGATCTTTCCCACCTTTTATTTTTACTCTGTCCTTTACCTCTGTATATGGCATACTTTGATAAGCTTTTATTATTACATTACATGACCTAATACTTTCATTGGAATCTGCATATCTGATTTTTCCTGCACCTGATGACTTGGAGCACAGCAATTGTGAAGGAGAGAATCCTGTAACTGCAAGCAAATTTTTGTCTACTTTAGTTCTTGTGTCCAATCTGTGGTAAGATGGAGAAGGTATGGAAGGAGAAGTTTTTGTCAGAGTCACATCAGGATCTCCTGTTCTTTGCTGCTCCTGTTCTACTTTCTCCTTCATATGCCACTGTGGTTCCTTTCTCTGGTTCAAAGCACCGTGTTCAGTGACACTGAACGTATGAGAAGGTGGTGTTGTCTTTGCCTTAAAATCTGTGCCCTGGGGCTGCACTGAGCCATTTATGGCTCCTGTTTGTACTCCGTTCCTTTCTGCCTGTCGTGGGCGTGGGTCTCCTTTCTTCACATGGCTATCAGGTGAATCTGTAGATGCTAACTGCCCTGAGGGCAATGATTCTTGGAGCTCAAGATGTGGCGCATCGTTTATTATTATTCCTGGCTCACCTTCCTCGTCTTTTATTGTGTTAAGATGAGTTGAGGAAATGAGAAAAGGATGAATTTTGCGCAGAAGCACAACGGTTTCCTTGTTATCTTCTTGTCCCACTTTCACTTGTTCTTTGATGTTCACTTGCAGTTTCTTTGTTTTGACTATAAGGGAAAGGGGTGACTTCTTTGCCCTCAAAGCTATATACATAGAATGCATTATGTCTTTCTCAAAAGTATTCGCTTTATCCTCTTCTCTCTGTGTCATGTATTTTGTTCTTTTTGAATCATTTGAAGTATCATTCAAAGGTAGTACTGTACGTTTTAATTTCTCTGCATTTGATGATTCCCTTGGCCATGAGGGTAGAAGAAACGGTCTTGATACTTGTTTCTCCTCCTTGCCTTCTATACTTTTGTTTAATTTAAACTGAGGCAGAGAAGGTCTTGTCAGAACCTTACCTAGCTCACTTCTTTCTTGTATGTATCTTAATTTTTCTTTTATGCTTGTCTGTACTTCTCTAATTTGGGCGTCACAACCCCCAGAGATACAGAGTACATGTGGAAGTGGTAATACCTTTGCCTTGGAAGTTGTGCCTTTGGGATACATTATATATTTTATATTTACTATTTTTCTTCTATCTTCTCCTTCCTGTGGCTCATACTCTTGTACTACTCTTACATCATTTGAAATATCATCTCCAGCTGACTTTGTATACACTATTTTCCCTGCATCAGATGATTTCCGTAGCTGTAGTTGTGAAACAGCGGATCCTGTTATTTCTTGCCTGTCTTCCTCTCCTATTCTTGTGTTCAATTCATGGTGAGTTAAAGATTCAGAAGCCCAATTTGTGGGCAGAACTACTTCTTGTTCACCTTTACCTCCTCTATCCACTTTCCCCTGCTCTTCACCTTCTGGATCCTCTTTCACCTGCTCTTTAAGATTCAATGGTATGTCCTGTAATAGTGCTTTCTTTCTTTTCAAATCTTTATCTTTTGGATGCATCATGTCTCCCTTGGCTGATTTCTCTACATTAGTCTCTTCCTTCTGTGGTGTAAGTTCTTTTGCTTCTTGTACATCACTTGTGATATCACCATCAGTGGACTTATTTGCTTTTTTCACTGCATCTGATGATTTCTGCTGTGATGGTTCTGGAAGAGAGGAGCTTGTTACTTCAGTTACATAGTCTGCTTTTTTTATTCTTGTATCCAACTGTAAATGAGAAGGAGCAGGTATGCAAGTGCTAGTATTGGTCACGAGGACATTTGGCTCACCTTTAATTTTTTGTGTCTTCTCCTCTTGCTCTTTGATGTCCAGCTGGATTTCCTGTAAGATTGGTGATCTCTTTTTCCTCAAAAGCATGACTTTTACCATTTTTACTTTCTCCTCTTCTTCCTGCATTATATAATGTTCCTTGGATTCTTTTACACTGTTTGAGGTATCACCGTGAATAGACTGTTTGTATGCTATTTTTCCTCTATCTGATGACTCCTGGAGTTCTGTTTGTAGGAAAGATGGTCTTGTTTTTATTAGCAAGGCTTCTTCCCCTTTTATTCTTGTGTCCACTTCTGAGTAAGGTGGAAAAGAGATGGAAACACAAGATTTGCTCCGAATCCCAACTGGTTCATCTTTATCTTCCTGCATCTTTTTCTCTTTTTCTTTGATGTTCAACTGTAATTCGTGTGCAATTGGAGTCCGTTTTGCCTTCAAAGCTATTCTTTTGGGATGCCTGATTTCTTCCAAAGCCATTTCCACTCCATCTTTCTGTGGCATATATTTTGCCTTTTTTATACTGCTTAAAATATCATCAGCTGGCTCCTCACATATTCCCATTGTATCTGATAATTCCTGGAGCGTCAGTGATGGGAGACAAAATCCTGTGATTCCTCGCATGAGCACCTCTTTTATTCCAGGATCCCACTCCGCATGAGGTGAAGAAGGAATGGAAGCATGGCGTTTACTCTGAACTATGTCTAGATTACTTTTATCTTTCTGCATCATTTCCTCTTGTTCTTTGTTGTTCCACTGTGGTTCTTTTCCATGCAGTGTGTGTTCAAAAGGTGTTTTCTTTCCTTTAAAAGTGACACATTTGAGGCCCCTTATGTCTTTCACATATACTCCATCTTCTTTTTTTCCCTGTGGCAAATGTTTTGATTCTCTTACATTGCTTAAACTACCTCTATTAATTGACTCTGCAAATGAAGTTTTCCTGACATTTGGTAATACCTGGAGCTTTAGTGGTGGAAGGCAGCTCCTTGGTATTCCTGACTTATCTTGTCCTACTTTTATTCTTGAATTCACATTAGTTTGTGATAGAGATGGTAAGGAAGTACACAAGCTTGTCAGTTTCATACCTGATTGACCTTTACCTGTGTGCACCTTGCTCTCTTTTCCTGTAACGAGCGAGCTAATTTTTTCTGTACTTGGAATGTAATCCACAATGCTAACTACTTCTTCTGATGCCTTCTTTTCACATGCTATCTTACTCTGTAATACATCCCTCAAAGAGTGAGATGCAGACTTTGGAGAAATATAGTGTATACATTCTGGATGCTCTTCTTCTTTTCCCTCAACAAGCAAGCCAATTCCTTCTGTATTTGCAGTGTGGTACGTTGGAGCCTTTAATGTTTTTTTTACACATGGCAACTTAATCTGAAGTACATCCATCAAGGAATGAGAAACAGATTTTGGGAGAACCTTGCATGTACTTTCTTTTTGATGTTCTTTTCTTCTTCTATTATGCAAGCTAAGAGAAGGTTGATCTACTGGAGTATCTGCTTCATTCAATGCTTTGTCTACTACTGAACTCAAAACTTTTGAACTCACCCCTTTTGCTGAGACTTTTTTCTTTAGCTTTTCATTATAGAATTGATCCAACATGCAAGAAGAAATGGATTCCAGAATATTTTCTTTATTCTGGTTGGAACTATGTAGTTGCTTCACCCCCAGTTTTTCAGAAGTCATTTTCTGTCCATTTAATCTTAATGGAATGTCCGTTAACTTTGATCGCTCTTTTCTCCCTGGATTTACACGTAAACTTAGAGAAGTGCTTAGATCTTCCTTCTTTGTATTTACCGCCTGTGTTACCTGAAGAGGCTCTTTACCTGGGCGGGACACAGAATCCACAATACTTTCAGGAACACCAGCTGGTTTCACCTCTCCTTTCTGTGCTGCAGACATAGTTTGCTGGCCCACCAGACTGGTACAAAGAAACTTCTGTCCTTTTGAACGTTGTGAGATATTGGTTTCTTTTATATCTTCTCTTCTCAATAAATGTGAAATATTCCTTTTGTTAGTGTATATATCTTCCTCAGCTACCTTTCCTGTGTTCTTCAAATGAGGAGGTTCCATAATGGGGTAGGCAAAAGACCCCTGAATTGTCAGTGAAATACTTCCTTGTTTCTGAAATTCTTGCTCCTTGTGAGTCTTTTGATGAGAAGCATCCAACTCTGTAAGAAATATATTCTGTCCTTTTGAATTTAATGAAATATTGGTTTTCTTGGATACTCCTCTCCCCCATGGAATTGAAACTGAATGTTTGACGACGTCTGCATCTTTGTGCTTTACTCTTGGAGCAACAAGGAATTCACATTCTGTATGAGTTCTGATTCTTGGGATGTCGAACCTAGTGTAATTGATTTCCCTCTTCTGGGAAGCTAGACCAGAGTATACTTCTCTTTTCAAAGCTACTCCTATTTTCACATGGTCAAGCTCCTTCTTCACATGTTGGCTAATCACTAACTGATCTCTACATTGTGGGAGAAGGTCTAGTAAAACAATTTGGCGCTTTTCTTTTTGCTCTCTAATGCATTGTTTCAGTGTTTTGATATTTCTTGAGAAAGCACTCTTTATATCAGTGGACTCTGAAGATGACATTTTTCTTTTGTTTAGTGACTTCTCCAGCTCTAGCTGTGGAAGAACGTTTATGGGCTTTCTTGGCCTGGATTTCTCCCTTTCTACTTCTGTAAATTGTTTAATTTGAGATGAAAGAGATCCAGAATCACAAACAGTGTTCAGAAATAAATCTACTATGGTTTTATCTTGCTGGAACTCCTTCTGTTTCTTAATGTCACATCTCAGTTCCTTTTTGTTTCTTCTAGTTCCACATCCTATAGTATTAAACAGCTGGGAGACAGGTGGTTTCTTTGCCTTCAATTTCATCTGTCTGATATGCATAGTGTTTTTCACACCTGCTGTTTTTGCCTTAGCTTTATGTTTTATGATTTTAGGATACATAGGTATGTAGGCATAAGCAGAACTAGCATTTGCTTTGTTTAGGGCATTTCTCTTTCCAGAAGATTCTTCATAGATATCCCAGGTACTAGGTGATGGCTCCATTTTTAGGTGTGATAAAATAGGCATAGAATCATACACAAATTTTAGGTCCACATTTAATACAGTTTTCTCTCTCTTTCCGTCTATCTTCTTTCCCTGTTGCTCATTAATGCTTAAAGCAGCATGGCCAGTGATATTAAATGGTTGTGAAATCACTAGCCCTTCAACTGGCAACTGCATTTGTGTTGGTTGTACATGACTAAACCTTGATACTCTGTCCATCCCTATTTTGAATCTGCTTTGTCTTTCAATGTCATAGGTATCTGGTGTGAAGTAAATGGTATTTGGAAATGTATCAGCCACATTTTTACCTTGACTCATCTGTTGCATTTTGGTTTTTAAATTGGATCCAAGTTTTTTCCTGCGTTTTGTGGTAAACCGCCCTCTGATTTTAAGTATTTGTGAAATTGCTGGCTCCTTTTCCTTCAGAGTTAAACATCTGGGATTCAATGTGATTTTCTCTTCTAATAATCGTACTGTGTTTATCTGGCTTTCAGAGTCAGATAAAATTGGTGTAAAGAAATCTACAGGCTCCAGGAAAGTTGTGGCTGAATTCTCCCATAACTCTGCCTTTTCCTCTGTAATATGACCATGCAGATTTCTGTGAAGTGTTCTGTTATATAGCGTGCCCCTTGATGTTGCATCAAGGGAGCGTTCATCAGTCACTAACTTGGGTGGTGGAATCTTAGTTCCCTCAGCAGCAAGGAGTGATGCCTCGCCCACACCTTCAAACCACTGCCTCGTTTTCATCTTGTACTGAAATTTGCACCCCTTCATCTTTCTATGGCTTCCTGTAATGCATCCTGTGATATTAAGCAACTGTGAAACTGATCGTTTCTTTGCCTTCAAAGTTACATGCTTGGGATTTATTATACTTTTCTTGCCTACAAACTCTAATGTGTAGCTCTGGCTTTTAGGTTCACATGAATCAAGGCTGGAAAAACCTGAAGATTTTAAGACTATTCTTACTAAGTCATTTTGATTCCATGCCTTTTTCTCAAAAATATAACTATCCCATTTTCTCCTAGGATTTCCACCCCAGAGAACGCCACCTTGTATTGAACCAGTCTCTGATTTCCTTGCTTTTGGAAATGGAGTCTTTAGTCCTCCCATACATTTAATTCTTTCTTGAGTATGAAGACTTTTTTTCTCTGTTTCAACTTGAAGAAGATTCATCACGTGTCTAGAAACAGGCTCCAAAATAGTTTCTCTAAAGCATTTTTCTTGCCTCATTTTTTGTGCTGCACAAGACAAATTCCAAGTGCTTCTGACTTCTAAATCACTCAATTCAGATTCTGATTGGTAAGAACCAAAATTTTTCATATGATGGGCACTGAAACTGAAGTGTTGGTTATAGTGTGGGACTGATTCTGATAACATTTTTTTGATATTTTCCTCTTCCCTTTCATGTTGCACGTTCATTTTCATTGTGTTGCTGGATCTGTTTTGTGGATCAGCTGAATTGGCCTTCCACACTTCCCCATCACATGGTGATTTCCCTAGCTCTGCAGAGGTACGGCTACATAGTTTTACTCTTGGTTGATCCATCTCTGCTTCTGATGTACTATGCATTTCCTTATCTATTTTGTTATCAGTTGAAACAGGTGTGGGAGACAATAATGCATTTGCTATACTTTCATTTTGTTGCATGTCATTTATTGTAGATTTTAAGTTGTAGTCCTGTTCCTTTCTACAGTAGAGATTATCATGTTGAGTGATATTAAGCATCTGTGAATAAAGAGCCTTCTTCTTTGCCTTCATGGTTACACAATTGGGACCCCTAAGATTTTTCCTTCCTGAAAATTTTAGTATCTTCTCCTGACTTTCAGAGTCAAATAAAACAGATATTGTGGACATTGTTAGTAAATCTCTTTGCAACACTCTAGATTTCTTGGCACCCATTTTCCTTCTAGAGCGTTTATCACCTGGATCTACAAGTACTGAGTTCCCTGATTTGGTAGGTAAGATATTTTGATCAACTCTGTGTTTCATTACTTTTTGAGTTTTTATGTCTTCCTCTTCTTCTTCAGGTTGTAGGGAAACTGCAATGTGAACATCTAACTTCCTTGCAGGGCTCCCATCAGATATAGTACTACACTCTGTTTCATCAGCTGAAAAGTAGTCAAACGCTGCTTTCCCTGATTTTGGACATGGAATCTTTTGACCTATTCCATGTGGCATGTCTTTTTGTGATGGGATATTCTTGCTCAGCTCTTCAGTTTGAAATGGAATCAGAGGAGAACAAGTAGATCCCAATTTATTTTCTGAAACCAGTGTTTGTTGATGCACATCCTGCTCTGTAATAAGCATATTTTGATCTTTTCTCCTTCCTATATTATACAGGAATTGGAGACCTGCTTCAAATAAAACTCTGTTGCCCTCTCTTTCTTTTTCATTTTGCAATCTTGATTCTAATGTGCTGCTTGAGTTGCTCCATTTATTAGAAGAATAGGGACACAGTCTTTCCCCCTCATGTTGTTCTGGCTGTATAATATTGCTTTTATTTCTTAATGGGTCTCTCTTTGCTTTTACTTTTTTATGCGTTTTGATGGCAGGTGAAACGGGTGTAGGTGAAGGGAAGGTATTCACAAATATACCTGACATACTTCGAGATATTTCTTTGGCCATGTTTTCCAAGATGAAGTCCTGTTCCTTTCCATGGCTAAGAGCATCAGACTTAGTGATGTTGACTGTCTTTAAAATTGATGCCATCTGTGCTTCCCCATTTCTAGACTTGGGGATTTGTGCTGAATTTCCCCAACCTTCAAATTCAGATAAAGCTGGCGTGGAGAAATCAAAGCACTTTAGGCTTCTCACTTGTAAATCCTTTTGCAACCTTGTCTTTCCCTCTGGAGTAGATCTAGCAAGTTCCTTCCTAGGGCCTCTTTCAGATGGGATGTCACTCTGTGTTGTAACAAATAAAGATTCAGGAATTGATTTCTCTAGCATTAGAGATAAAATCTTTGGACTCTTTGCATATTTTAAGGCCTTTTGTGTTTTTGTTCTTTTTGGTTGCTTCTCAAGGGCAAGTGAATTCAAAATAGAGCAAGAAACACACTGTAATTCACTTCGTGTGAAAAGTGTTTGTTGCTGCAGCTCCGGGGCTGTGTTAAGTGGTTCTGGGCTTTTTTTCTTTGCTGAATTCTTCAGTTCTAGTTCTGACTTCACAAAGTGAGGCTCCTTCATTTTACCAGCAATGAAACTGGAGTGTCGAGAATTCCGCGGGGCTCCTTCTTCACGTTGGTCTTTGACTTCCTTCATGTCTTTGGAGGCAGGGCCCCTCCTGTCACTGGAATCAGCACAGCAGGCTCTCTCTCCATCTGGTGATTGCTCTTGCTGTTGCAGTTCGTGACTGAATCTCATTTTCCATGACACATCTGACTCTGCTTTTATTCTGTTACACATTTTCATGTCAAGTAAAGCAGGAACAGGAGAGGAGATGGCATTTAGGGTCATGTCCGCCATGGGTTTCCCTTGTTTCATCATGATTTTGAAGTTGCATTTGAATTGTCTTTGGCTTGGTGTGCCATGTTTTGTGATAGTAAGTCTCTGGGAAATCGCTGCCTTCTTTGCCTTCGAAGTTACCCATTTGAGACTCATTTTATTTCTCTTCTCTATATACTTTAAATTGTTTCTCTTTCTTTTCAACGCAGGTAAAGCAAGTGTGGATAAATCCAAGGACTCCAGAATTGTTGCTGGTAATGCTTGTGCTAATCCTTCCTTTCTCTCTGCAATAAGATCTTCCAATACCCCAGAGCATTTTATATGAATTAACAAGTCAATAATCTGTGATTTCAGGGTCTTTGGATGTAGGTTTTTTAAATAACCATTCCCTTTAAATGTTGGTGAAGTTGGTGTCTTCCTTGCCTTCATAATTACACATTTGGGACTCATTTTATTTTTTAAGGCTCTACTTGTAAATGTCTTTCTCTGCCTTTTAGATTCAGATAGATCAGGTGTGGAGACATCTGAAGACTCCAGGACAGTTGCTTGTAGATCTTTTTTAAACTCTGCATTTTCCTCTTTATCATGACTGTACAATTCCCCCATATGGCTCCCAACACTTAGGACACCACCTTTCATTGTATCCATTAAAACTTGACCAATTAGTGATTTCTTTGACTTTAGAAGAGGAAGCTTTGACCTTGCTGTATATATTGCACCATTTTGTGTCTGGAAGCTTTTCTTTGGCTTCTCTCCCTGCATTGAATCTGTACGCTGCATTTGTTGTGAGATGCCTTGTTCAGTAACAAAGAGAATGTTCCCTCTTCCTTGGTTTTCTGATTGATGAAGGTCAAGCTCTTCCCTTTGGCCTGAACAGAATTTGAAGTGTTGGCTGTGCTGTGGAATTACTTTTAATATCTCCTGTTCACTTCTTTCTTCCTCTGCATCTTGAAGACTGTTCTCTTCAGTGTCATCTGAAGTAATATTCTCTTGATGTGGTAATAATGCTTGCTTTACTTGTTTAGAACTGAGACTTCTTTCTCCTAACATACCTTTTTCTGTATTGCTATACCTATTAATATCAGGTGTAATGCTCATGAAAGAATACATTTTAGCTGCCATTTTTTCACCTTGATCCATCTTTTCCAGTTTGGTTGTAGAGTTATATTCCAATTCTTTTCTATGGTTTGGGCTAGCACCACCTTTAATACTCAATATGTATGAAACCGATGGCTTCTTTGCTTTTAAAATTCCACATTTGAGATTCACTAAAGTTTTCGTGTCTGAATATTTTTTTAAATGTTTCTTCCTTTTGAATGTAGATAAAGCAGGTATGCAGAAATCAAAAGTCACTGTGTCTTTCTTTTCAATACCACCAGCCTGTTCTTTTTGATGATTTGCATCAGATGGGACACCATACTCTCTTGTAGAAAAAATGATTTCATCCATCCTTGCTTCCCCTGACTTTGGAGGTGAAAACCTAGCATAACTCTCTAGCTTTCCAAATTGAAACTGATCCACCATGGGGCATGAAGCAGAACCTAAAATAGCTTGTGTACCATGTATTCGTGGTTGTACCTGAATATTTATACTTCGTGGTTGTTTCAGTTCCTCATCTGATTTGACAAGGTCACAATTCTTCTGATATGCATTGAATATAAAGACTCGGCTATTCTCTGGAGGTGGTAAAGTTTCATGTTTCCCTTCCTCCTCTTTCTCATCTCTCACACTGTTAGTTAAAGTACTCACAATATAATCTGGGCAACATACTTTTCTTCCATTTAGCAATTTCTCTTGCACTGGCTGCATATGACCAAGTCTTGCTATCCTCTGCATATCTGTCTCTACATTTAACCCGCTACTCATTTTGGTGTTGGGCAAAATAGGCAAGTTGGACTGAATGACACTGAGAAATGCATCTACCCTGTTTTTATTTTGCTGTGGATTTTTCATCTTTGTTTTAAAATTGCATTGCAGTCCCTTGCTCTGTGTACCATTAAGCATATGTGAAGCTGATGGCTTTTCCCCTCTAATAGTTCTGTATCTGTGACTTGCAGTTATATGCTTCCTCCCTAAATCTAATGTATTTTTCTTTCTTTCAGATTTAGAAACAAAGGGCTCAACAGAATCAAAAGAATTCAGGCATGTCACTCGCAAATCTTTTGGTAACTGTGAATTGTTTTCCACAAAATAAGAATCTAGTACCCTCCCAGAGTTTCCACCATATGGTAAGCCACACTCTGTCATGGTGTTCAAATGTGTATCAGATGATGAGTTCTGTGCTTTGGGAGATGGAATCTTTGGACCCATAGGGGCTGTTATGTCATTTTCTGTTTCGCTGGTTTTCTTGAGTTCCTCAGCTTCTCGAGGACCCTTCTGGTGGCCAGTCTGCAAAGCAGTTTGAACAAACCATGCTTGGTGCTGCGCATCTTGCTCATTAACAGACAGCTCCTGTGTTAAACAGTCCAGTGCTGAGTCTGGTTCGTCAAGGTGGGTCTTCTTCCCTTGACAGGCATCGGGCCAGAGATACTGGGTATGCTGTGAAGCTGCTTCTAGCAAAGTTTTTTGCTCCACTTCCTCTCCATCTTCCACTTTTTCCTCTCGGTCATGGAATGCTCTGCTCTTGTCAAAGAAATCAACATACCGTGGTCTCACTTCCCCTAATTCCCCTTGCTTTAACTGAGCATGACAGAAGCTCTGCATGGGAGAGTAAAGGGTATTTATAAATTCATATACCAATCCATTAGCTTGGTTGATCTTCTCCAACTTGGCCTTATATTTGGAATCCAATTTCTTTCTCTGACCTGTGCTATTAAATACTTGTGAAACTGACGGCTTCATTGTCTTCGTATGTACAGATCTGGGCTTCACTGAACCTTCTGTGGATGAGAATCTTACTTTGTTTTTATTCATTTTAGAATGAGTTAAAATAGGCATGTGGCAATTAAAAGTCTCTGGAAAAGTTGCTGGTAAATCTTTTGGTAATTCTGCAGAACTTGTTTCTGCAGAAAAGTAACCCATTTCCCTTGCATCACTTCCATAATCTAGAACATCACTTTCTCTTGTTTGGTTTGGAGGGTCTCCAGCCAATGATTTTTCTGATGTTGGGAGAGGTGTCTCTGATGTTGGGAGAGGTGTCTCAGAATCTACAGCGCATTTTAAGTCTGCTTGTGTTGTTAGGCTTTTCTTCATAGTCTCAACATGAAATAGATCCACTATGGAAGAGTAAACAGACTCTGTAAGGGTTTCCATGGATGTAATTGGTTGAGGTATGTCTTCCTCTGCTTTGAGCTCCTTCTCTGGATTGGCATCCAATTGGAGGTTCCAGCTGTCATGAAGGACTGCTTCTGGTGGAGCTTCTTTGTCTCCTCTCACTTCATCTTGCAATTTAACTTCTTCTAATGTGTTGCCAGAGTCACTGCCTTTATTAATAGAATCTGAATACTTTTCTTCCCTTTCATCTTCTGAGTTCTCTTGTTTTAGCTTGGTCTGACCGTGATTCTCTGCATTTAATCTGCCATGTGTTCTAATCCGAGGCAAAATAGACATGTGAGGATAAGTAACATTCACAAGCACATCTGCCACAATTTTATCTTGCAGCATCTCTTTAATTAGGATTTTAAAATTGCCTCTCAATCTTTTCCTAAGACTTGCAGTACCATGCCTTCTGATATGAGGCATCAGTAAATTTGTTGGCTTCTTTACTTTCATAATTATAGATTTGGGACTGAGTACCCTTTTTGCTCCTGATAATCTCTTTCTAATTTGCTGCCTTTTAAAATGTGATAAAGGAAGCATATAGATAATGAAAGACCCCAGGGCAGTTGCAGGTAAAACTTGTTGGAGGTCTGCCTTTTCTTCTGTAATATGATCATCCGGTATCTTTCTGGGGCTTCCACCAAATGGGACACCACATTCTGTTGTTTCAATTAAAACTTCGCCAACTCGTGGGTTCTCTAGCACTGGAAGAGGATTCTCTGGATCTGCAGCTCCTCTGCCTGTAGGTCTGTCTGTGCTTTGCTTTACCTCAATTTGAAATGGATCCATCGGGGGGCATGGACTAGTCCCCAAAATTATTTCTGTAGGAAGAGTTTGTGGTTGTACCTCTTGCTCTTTACTTTGAGTTTTTCTGCTTCCTGAACTGCTCTGTTTTATTTCAAATCTGACATATTTAGGCTTCTGCTTTAGTTGCAGGCTGAGGCTGAAATCTTGTGTTAGCTCTGGAACTGCTTCTTGAAAAGTTTGTTCTTCTTCCCCTCTGTCATGTTCTTGTGACTTTTTAAATATACATCTCTTCTCAATGTATTTTACATCCCATGTTTTCTTTTCATCTGGTAATTTCTCCAGCTTTACCACTGAATGACTAACCCCTGTTGTTGATGTATCTGTCTTGCCTTTTAATCCACTATGCATTTCCCTATCAGGTGGTTCAGAAATGGTAGTGTTGGTGGCATTGTGAAATGTAGCAAATATTCTTTTACCTTGCATATTTTTTATGTTGCTTCTAGTGTTGCATTCCAGTCCCTCACTTTCACTTAGGTTATCACATTCTGTAACATGAAGTGTTAGTAGTGGTTTCTTTTCCTTCATAATTACATCTTCTGTACGGTCTTGAGTTTTTACACTTGCTAATTGTTCACTGCCTTCATGCTCTTTGATTCCTAGTGATATAAGCAGATTAACCTCTGAGGTCTCCAGAACAATTTCTAGAAAATCTTTTTGCTTTTGTGTGTTTCCATCTGGAAAGCACTTTTGCATTTCTGGTGAACTAGTTGGTAACTTTTCTCCACTTGAAAGTGGAAAATGGGAATTCTCTGTACTTTTTAAGTCTTCCTGTGTTTTCAGTCTCCTGTTTGATTCCACTTCGGGAGAGGAGACAAATTTTTGCCAAGGTTCTGATAAAGCTTCTTTTAAAGGTGACTCCTGCTTTGGAATATGCAGGTCAGATGTTTTTTTACTATTTGGGGCACAAAAGTCTGCAATACCAATTTCCTTTGCTTGTGTAATTGGGTCTTTAAGAGACACTTTATTCTTCCAGGTCATTTCTATTAAGGAAGAACAAGGTGATTTTAGTTGAAAAGTATTGATCATGAAAGACTGTTCTAGCTGAGGTGGGATTTTTGGTGAAATGGTTATTTGTCCTTTATTTTCTCTGCCATGCTGCTTTTTATTTTTAGTACTGCCTGAGGTTCCTCTTTTCTCAATAGACCCCACATAACTGACATTCTCTGCATCTGGTGACAGAGAATGTCTACATCCTGTTACACCTGGCATGACTTTCACTAGTTTTTTTCTGGCATACTTCTTAACATAAGGAGGAATAAGCTTGGAAACATAAGTAAGATGCAAAGCCATCTCTGATATACATCTTTGATGTAATTCTTCCTTCTTAGCATTATACTTGTATCCAAACTTGCTAGGTTTTGAAGTGTGACATACTGTCATTTGAAATACCCGTAGAGTTGGTGTTTTCTTTGACATTTGAGATGGAACTTTGAGACTAAGTTTACTTTTACTGGGTAATTTTTTTCTCCTGTTTTTCTGCCTTTTAAGGATAGGTGACAGAGGCCCTGAGCCATATACAGAATACTGACTTAATTCTGATGAAGCAATTTGTTTCTGGCCCCCTGGCTTTACAGTCTTTATTTGTAGCACCCCTTCTGCAAATGAATTTGGACTTAGCATTAAAACGAGAAATCTGGCATTCTTAAAAATAGCATTTCGCCCCCGAATTAAATATTTAATCTTGTTTGAATCTTTAAGCCAAACAGAATACTGGGCCTGTTCGAAGTGTTTATCAGACTCTAGGCCCTTGACTGAATCTTGAGTCTCAACAGAATATGAGACATTGACCAAATGTTGGCTTCTGTCCATATCTTGGGTCTGGAAGGAGTCTTGCATGCTGCTGGAAAATGGCTTCCTCACCAAATCTTGAGGTAGAGCAAAGTATCTGGCCATGATATCAGGCTGGCTATTGACTGATTCTTGGTTGTTAACAAATTGTTGGGCTTGACTAGTATATCTGGCTTCATAAAAATGTTGATTCTGAGGAGCATTCTGTCCTGGAAAAGAATCTTGTGGTTGGGTAGAAATACCCATTCTAACAGAATGTTGATTCTGGATCAAGGACTCTTGAAGTCTTGAGTACAGATAAGTAGTTTTACTCTCTAATGTAGTTTTGGATTTTAAAGCAATTTGATTTCTCACATTTTCTTCCAGAAGTCTGAGTTGGTCTCTAGAAAGAAATAAGTGGGCAGGAGGGCGTGGTGCCACATTGAGATCTTCACTTTCTGTAGTGATTCTAGAACTTCTCGAAAAGTTTAAGTCAGAAGAAAATACTAAATTTTTATTTTTGTTGGTTTTCATTATTGAAAATAATTTCTTCGATGAAAATTGTACTGTTTCATGTTCATTTTCTGGATACCCTCCACGGCTTGGAGAAAATTCCTTTACTTCTGAACGAAACAGTGACAAAGATGAGCTAGTCCCATTTGAAGATATCATATGACTTTCACTAAAGTGACTTACTTGATATTTACTTTCACTGGTACTTGACCATATTACTTCATCTGCTGTTGAAACTCTATCTTCAAAGTCACCTTCATTTTCTTCAGATGTAAGTGATGAAGTAATTGTTCTTTCTGAAAAGTCATCAACTCTGAATATAAGAATACAGTATGTAAATGAGTTGTCACTTAGGACATATTGCATACAAGAACTCCCTAGATTTATGGAAACCCAATATAGTATATGAAAACATAGCTCAACAGAAAGATAAATTGAAAAGTCATTATCCACATTACAAAACAATTCATAACCTAGTTTCATTCATTTCATAAATCAATCCACTGACAAAGTGAAGTAAATTATTTTCATTTCTCAGAGAACGAGGGATTTTTTTTTTTTTTACCTCAAAAACCCATCCAAAGTCTATTTTGACAGCAATGAGTCAAAGTTGTAGGTTAAGATTATATCCTTTTATAGGAACACCTGGGTGGCTCAGTCGGTTAAGCATCTGCCTTTGACTCAGGTCATGTTCTCAGTGTCCTGGGATCGAGCCCCATGGGCTCCCTGCTCAGTGGGGAGTCTGCTTCTCCCTGTCCTTCACCCCTCCCCCTGCTCGTGCACTCGCTCTTACAATCTCTCTCAAATAAATAAATAAAATCTTTAAAAAAAGATCATATCCTTTTACAAAGAATATGTTTGTTTCTGTTCTCTGTATCAAAGTTTTGACAAGGATAAAAATACTCTTATGAAAATTTAGATACAACAGAAGAATGTCCAATACCATAAGCAATTGTTTTCTATAAATAAATCCAAATTTATTTTAACAGCTGTTTATTTCTGATTGAGAGAAAAGCCTACATTTTAGGGTAGTGCTTCTCAGCACAACTTTGGATTGGAATAATGATCATGGAAGTGGACTCTCCACCATCTATTCTACATCAAGCGATCAGGCTAAGTCTAACAATCATCTCATTTCCAAGTGACTAGGTTAGGAGCAGGCATGAACTAATCCTAGCATAAGACAAAGATTTTTAAGGACTTGTGGAAAAAGTTGCCCCATTCCTAAGAAATGATCTCTTAGTTCCTCTGGACATTGCTGTTCTGATTTTGAAACTCTAGTGGTCACCTTTCTACCCACCTCAAGATAAAACTAACACTGAGAAAGGCAGAGGGAGAGATACAGGCCTTAATGAAGTTGTTGAGCCACTGTATCAACCAATTCTGCAGCCTAGTCTAACTCAGGATTTCCTATTATATAATACCATAAATTTTCTTAGTATGGCAGTTTGCATTATGGTTTTCTGTTACTTGAGAATTAAAATATCCTAACTGATATAGGCAGGACAGACAAGCATTCTGGGGAATCAAGTGACCCCAATAAATTATAGCAGTGTCCAAACATAATTAGGATAAAATTTCATCAGGACAAGAATATAATTATTCACTTAAAAAAGTAGAATAGTGAAAATATAATACATAAAAAGAATTAATTTTTACACATTTCAGGAAAAAGAGGAAAGCCGAAATGCAAGACAGATATTTCAGCAATGCAATACTGTGTTTTTAAACATAATAAAACAACGCTAGATAATTTTCATATGTTGAACCAGCTGTGCATTCCTAGGAACAATCCCACTGGATCATGGTGTATAATCCTTTTAATATTCTGCTAGATTTGGTGTGCTAGTATCTTGTTAAGGATTTTGCTTTTCTATTTATAAGGGATACGGGTCTGATATCTATCTTGTATACCAGCTCCACATACTCTCCATTTGACAAGCTTCCAGGCCATCATAATTCTCCTGGTTTTCCTCCTCACTTCCTGATAGCTCCTTCCCAGTCTCCTTTGATGGTTCCTCCTCTTCTTTCGGACCTCTTTGAAGTGTCTCAGGGCTCAGTCCTTGTTCCTTTTCTCTTCTCACAGTCCCTTTGAAATCCCATCCTCTCTTGTAGCTTTTAATATTGTCCATAAGCCAACAACCCCCAAACTTATTACCTCTACCAGACATCTTTCCCAAACTACTTATTTACTACCTCTATTAGATATCAAATCAATATCCCAATTCAACAAGTAGGAAACAAAATTCCTGATCTCCCCATCAAAGCCCGCTCCACCCACAGTTTTCTTCATCTAGGTTGACGACAGCTGCACTTCCTACTTGCTCAGGCCAAAACTCCTGGGAGTCACCTTTGCCTCCTCTCTCTCACATCCACACCTTGTTGGCTCTACTTTTCTAAGTATATCCTGAAACCAACCACCTCCACTGATACCACCCTGGTGTCATTCACCTTTATCTCTCACTCTGGGTTACTTGCAATAGCCTGCCATCTGCTTAGACCCTTGACCAAATATAGTCTACTCTCAACACAACAGGCAGAATAATACTTTAAAAATATAAGACAGAACATATCACTTCCCTGTGCAAAACTCTACAATGATTCTCCATTGTTACTTAGAGTAAAAGCTATTATTGTCCTTAACATAGCCTAAGAGGCCCACCCATGATCTGGTCACCAATTACTTCTTGGACCCCATCCTCTATGTCACCCCCCCACTCCCTGCACCAGCCACACTGGCCTTCTTACTGTTCCTAAAACACTAGGCACACTGCCCCTTAGGGTCTTTGCTCTAGTTGCTCCCGCTGTCTGGAATACTCTTCTACCTTATCTGTTTGCTTAACTCCCCTATCCCTTCAAGGCTTTAGGCAAATCCCACTGTATATATTGCAACCTACCTCTCCTCCCCTACTTTCAGCACCTCATTCCTCTTACCCTATTCTATCTTTTGTTTTACCATAAATCCTATCATGTTCTGTCATATTATATTATTTCTTTATTTATCCTATTGTTTTTTATTATCAGACTTCCCTCCTACTAAAATGTAAGGCAGGAATCACTGTTGTTTTTATTCACTAATATATCTCAAGGGCATACAACTATGCCTGGCACATAGCAGGCCCTCGGTAAATATTTGCTGAGTGACCACTCTTTGCTGTAGGTTTCTGATTACTAACCCTCATCCACAACAAGCTGACCCAGACATACAACCCAAACCTTTCTTTTAGTTCAGTAAAGGGGGAAATCCACATATATTAACCACCCATCAAAGTGGCTCAGCACTGAAGGCAGAAATGGAGGGGAATTGGTTACAGCAATACAAGTAACACCCACTTAAACATTGTTTGTGTCTCCCCATTTTTGCAATGTCCTTTGGCCTCTCCCAGCAATCTCGACTGGTCTTGGAAAATTTAATTTTTATTATTTTTTAAAGATTTTATTTATTTATTTGACAGAGAGAGCACGCGTGCACACACTCATGCACAGAAGCAGGAGTAGGGGCAGAGGGAGTGGGAGAAGCAGACTCCCTGCTGAGCAGGGAGCCCAACGTGGGGCTCGATCCCAGGACCCTGAGATCATGACCTGAGCTGAAGGCAGACACTTAACCACTGAGCCACACAGGCACCCTGGCCTTGGAAAATAAAGAAATCCCCACACTCCCAGGAAAAGACTGACAGTTCTACAAGCCATGGTAATAAGTAAATACCAGAAGTAGTTGTAAATCTGTTAAACCACTCAATGGAATATAGTCATAGTACAGTCCTAAGGTGATGGTAACAAATAAATACCAATTCTGTTTTTAAACATTTTTATCTATGATAACACCCTTTAGGAAATACACTTCTGAAACCAACCAGTCAGTGACAGCTCCAAGCTTTGAAAGTCATATAATGGTGGCAGGCTTTCCCAACACACTTCTAAGGCTGATGTCAACCCTGAAACAAACCATTCCCCAAAACTGGATCAATGTCCGATGGAGCAGTTTGCTTTGCTCACTGAGACTATACCTGGTCAGCAAGACTCTCCCTGATTTCAGATAATGAGTGGTGATCTCATCCTTTGATGTCCTTTAATGCCATTCAGTACCGAGCCTCAGGTCTTGTCCCCTGCTCCTCCCTCCTCTCTGCCCATCCCTCCACCTTTCTCTTCTCTCCCACCTCATAAGACAGAATTCACTCAGTCTCTGATGCGATGCACTTTGACCAGTGTGATGCCTGGGCTTCCACCAATAATTCAAGCAGTTTCACTTCAAAATAATTTAAGATGCTCTCCCAAATATGGTTCTGCCCTCAAAAATAATTCTGGTGCCAGGGCAAAGTATTTTTGCTTTGTTACACATACCATTTTAGCAAAATCTTCACGATTTCCTAAGAGGTAATTCTTCTAACTGCTATTTTGAAAGTAAGGAAATGCAGTATCGGTGAGTTTAAGCCTAAGGCTATACTGTCATTAAGAGGCAGAACTATGACATAAACCTAGACTTTTTTAAATTCAAATTTGTGTTTTTTCACTATAATATGTTGCCCACCATAGGAGCCATATCTCTTCCTTAACAGTAGTCATAGTTTATTGCATATACCCTACTGTTTCTTATTTCCTTGCCTCTACTCATGTCCTGGAATGCCCTCCTTATCCTCCTAACCTGCTGTCTTTTTCTGACTAATTTTCATTCATCCTTTAAAATTCAGCTCCAGCACAACGTTATTCATGAAGCCATCCCCAACACCCTATGCTGACTTAGGTATCTCCTAAATGTTTTCCTAATGCTTCTATCACTGTGTTATCATACGGCAAGGCAATCATCCTTTATGTATGTATCTCCTCCACAAGAATGTAAGCTTCTAGAGAACAGACTGTTTTATTGTTTGTATCCCAATATCAAACACAATGTCCACTGTAGAATAGATATCTAGTGATTCTTGAACAGATTTTGATATGAGCAATTAAAATATTAATAGCAACAAGAGTAGTGATGTCATATTTAATCCCTAGCACTGGTATATCTTCGGGATGCTGATGGATTCTGACTGTATAAAGAGAATGTCACTCTTGCAATACCTAGCTCAGAGTTTGCTTGGTTCACAGTAGGTAGGTGCTAAATGATATTTTTTTCAACTGAGTTATCAGAACTGGTGTTACAACTTATTCATGTGTACTGGAGAGAGAGGTTGGATAGGGAAGCAAGTTACTAAACCTCAGTAAACTTTCCTCATTTGTAAAAACAGCAATAATACTACCTACTTGGAAGGATAATTTTTATAGTACATGAAAGACATTAACACAGCTTGGAACAGAGCAACCATTAAAATCAATGTTAGATGCAACTGATGATTAACTGAACTCTACATCTGAAACTAATGATATACTATATGTTGGCTAAATTAATTTAAATTTTTAAAAAATGAAAAAATAAAATAAAATCAATGTTAGATTGAATTATGTCAAGTAGCTACGGTCCTCTATACATATGGAAAATCCTTTTCTGTAATTCAGACATAAATGCAATTTTAAATAGCACAAAACCAACCTGTTTCATTTAATTTCAAAATATATCACTTACCTTTCTTCTGAAGATGAAGGAATTGGACAGTTATCTAGAGATAAGTGGGAATTAAAAAAAGGGTCAGAGCACCAATAGGAGAGGCTCAGGTTGAACAAGTTTTATATTAAAATATGAAATTATATAATATTTACCAAATTGCATGCTTTTCAGGCAACTGTCTTCCTTCTATTTCAAGGGAGATTAATAAACAAATGTTAGAGGAGTAATCCAAATATCAGAGTTCTACAGTTTTATGTTATTCTTATGTATGATTTTAAAAAATAGGAGAGAAATAAATCAACCATTTGTTCTTACCTCTTGGGCACTTGAACTACCCTTTTCTGGAAGTGCAGGCTTCTTAGTAAAGGATGTACAGATCTTTATGAGTATGATCTCAACAATAATCCCTAGGAAAATTATAAAAAAGATTGCCATCCAATCATTTTGAGTCCAGGACTCTACAAGTTCCCACAATGTCCAAAATGTATTATCTTCCAGTCTATTTCGCATTGCTTTTTTAAAGAAATAAAATTGCTTTGACATTTTTATGTAATATGTGAGATAGATTGATGTCTCATTCTGAAGTCTTCGATTTTGGATGCCCCAAAACACAAAAAGATGGTATGCCCATCTCATAACCACATGCAATGCTCTGCCAGAAAAAAATTTCCAGCGCTGCTCAGGTGTCTTGACCAAGTGCAGCAGGGCCTGCTCTGAGCCTAAGTAAAGGGAGGTACGTGTCATAGTGGGTATTCAACTGAGCTCATGTCAACTTACTTTAGCAATAATGAAAATTCATTGGTTTGACATGTATGCTGCTTTAGTTTTTTTAATTTAAAATTTTTAAATAATCCTTTATTAATTTCACAAAAAGAAAATAATTCTATAAACAATCCCTTGGATTATTACTACCCTGTAATTCAAAAAATGCAGAACAAATTTGAATTAGACATAACCCACCAGGAATACTGTATTTTATGCTTGTGATTAGGAAAATATGTAGTTTTGCCAGATTTAGTAAAAACAAACAAAAAATGAAACTAAATGCCCCAGTTTAAATTTCAGGTAAATACCAAATGATGTTTTAGTATGTCTCATTGTCACTAGGTAGGACATGATAGCTTGTCTCTTATGGGCCTGCCTGATTTTTTTTTTTTAATAGGATGTCTTATTTTATTCTTTTAGCTAGAGGGGTCTGTTAGCAATGTTCCTTAACAATCTACTGTTATGCTGAAAACCAAAGTTAGATTTTGGAATGGTCTCCTGGTGAATTCCTTTTCGCCCTGTCTCTGGTGATTCCAAGGAACAGTTACTGGGAGGCTTCCTGATGTCAGAATCAGCATGGAGTAGAGCCAGCTTTAAGTACTGCTCATTTCCCTCAAAGTCTAGAGAGTAGGTGTATAAGTTTACAGTCCAAACACAAGACAGTCTAGATTATTAATGAAAAGTGTTAACACTACCTTGGATTTAGAGTATTTTCTCTTTAAAGATTAATTCTCTGTCTTCACTTATTCAAGGTGGGTTGAGGAAAGAAGTATATTCTTTTCAATGGAGTTAACTCTTCAGGTCTCTTCTGTCATATTAAGTATAACTGAGTGAAAGATTTATTGAGCTCTTATCTTCCTGGGGTATTGGAAATAATGAGCTCAGTGACACATCCTAAGCCTCAGAGTTTATAGTCTTTCAGTCTACCAGACTATAGCCTACAGGTATTTACAATCTTTACTTAGGTTTAACTATGATCTTGGGGTTTGTCTTTGCAAAGGATAGCCCTCCAGAATGCAGGGCAGGCATTCATTAGTTCTTGAAGAAACTTCAGCAATTCCTCCGGATTTTTCTTTTTTTTTTTTTTTTTAAAGATTTTATTTATTTATTT